GCAACTTACCAAAAAGTAAGCACCTTTTTTTTTTTTCTGTCTATATAAAATATTTTGTTTCTCGTTTATTCTCTAATGTATATGTTCTATCAGCTCCTCAGTCTACATTGAGGGTGATATTGAAACCAGAGTCTATAATGATAGTCTCAGCGGTGAAGTTAAAAGCATACCAGAAATTTGTGTGCGCAGAGATGGTACGTCCTTATGTTAATTGTAAGCACACGTGGTTTGTCATATTTGAAGATGTGAGCGTCTAACATTGCATTGAATGGTGCTCCTTGCACCCTATATTATGTGATTATTTCATTGGACACAGATATTTAGAAACACATATTTAGAAATTTTTATCAGACTTGCATGATTTACTTATACTTGTTGAAGGAAAGATTGTTTGAGGAAGAACATCAAATAATGTTTTAGCCATGAATGTATGTTTTTATCTTTAAATTTTGAATGCTATAGGAGTATATTCTAAGGTGTTGTCAAAACTTGTATGGTGTTACAAGATGGAGATACATTACTGAAACTTTTGGATAAAAGGAGTGTTAATTTGTCACGGTGTCCTGTGAATTAGAGCTGCCATTCATTATATCATTTTCCCTGTTCGTAAGTTTTGCGAACCACAGATTAGAATAAGATAGTAGTTATTTGGGAATAAAAGTTGAACCATTACATCAATCTGGAGACTTTGAACTGGTACAAGTAAAATAGAAAGCATAACATTGAAATCGAGTTAGAGGGAGTAAATGTGCTAAACAGCTTTTGAGATGTTGCTCTGCTTTAGATTCTATATCTGATCACCTAATAGTTTCATAAATACGAGAACCGACTTAAAAATGTACTGCAAAATAATAATAACATAGCTGCCACCTGCTGCTGCTGTATTATTGTATGAAAAACTGCATTGTCAGTGAAACGGATGTAAAAAGCATCTGATGCTATACAATTTTTTCACAGGGAGGATTCGGCTTATAAAAGTTGGTGAAAGTGTCAGCAGTATCTCTATTGATGAGCTCCGTAAGTTTTCCTCTGTTATATAAAATTGTTTGTTCCTCCTTCTCAACAGAAAAATAAATTTGTTCTTGAAATTTGTGAGCTTTGGGCTATAGTACCAGATTTATTTCCTAAATCAGATCCCCTTTGTCACGCTTGTTTTTCATGAAATATCGGTTCTTCCTGTCTGTTGCTTTTATTGGAATGGTACTTTTTTCTGTTATTGGCAGGAGAAGGATTGCTGTAGAAGCTCATTGGTAAATTATCCACATATAGTAGGCGGTTGGGAGTGGAAGGTGGAGGAAGCAGCTTAGGAGTAACCTATTGTTTGAAATATATTCTGCAGTGACACAAAAGTTTTTTCTATTTCCATCTGTCACTTGAATAATGTCAGATATTAGTTTGCCTTCAACGACTAGTGTCCCTCTTCTCTCGGTTGTATTTTGTTCGGAAGCAGGAAGAGATGTCCCTTTGGATCCACATTATTTAGTGGGTAGTTGCTTCATTCACCAAAAGCTGTGCAAGATGTTCAAATGAGAAATAACTAGGTTTCAGTTTAACTGTGAAAGAATAGGAGTACTAGTGGAATGAAGTGGTGGCTACTCATTCATAGGTAATCTCTTATCCACTTCTATTCTATGAAATTAATACTATGGTACTATATGGAGTGTTAAAACTTCTGTTTGTAAAATCTGCAGCATCCGGTAGACTTGTTTTTTGCCATTTATGGTAGCATACTCTTTTCAGATAGCAATGATCGACAATGGTGTATATACTAGTGTAAATTTGTTTCTGGTTCGCCCATGGCTCACCTTAAACTTACAGATCTTTCTATCTTCTTCACTTCTATCTCAATCCAGCCTTTCCACGGCCAGCTACAACGAAAAGCTTCTTCCTTTCCGGAGAAGGCCTTGCTCCAGTTTCTCTTTTGTGACAGCAATAGAAACTTAGTTTTCCTGATCTATCAATTTCATCTGTTACTTATTTATCATGTTTCATGAAAATAGCATATAGCCTTCACAACACGTAAGAGAAAGGTAGAAGTTAAAACTGGATTTGGATGTTAAAACTATATTTTGAGGTTGCTTATTTCTCATTCTCCTGAAATATGTAGGGCCATATCTCAGTTAAGCTTTTCTACATATAGTATATAGTTGACTAGGGAATAATTCGAAGGGCCGTTACTGAATCTGTATTATTATTTTTTGTTGCCCATAATTTCTGATTTTCATAGCTGCTATTGCGAGGATCCGCTTGAACAAATAGAAAAACAAATAAGTGAATCTGTTTGCAGTAAATAAACATAGATCACATTCTCTGCTTTAGAAAATTACGCTGTGCTTACTTCTGTGTGCGTTTTTCTTTTCAATTACCTTTATGTCTCTGAATCTGATTGCCTGTTACAAAAGTTGTAGGTTTTTATTGATAGGTTGTGTTAGAAGCAGTATGATCGCTAACGGAACATATTGAGGTTGATATTTTCCTTTTTATATGGTATGAATTCAATTGATTTACAGTAATTTTAATAAGGTGCTTATTTCAATAAGTATTATATTTTGACCCCATAATTTAAAAGTGCAAACGGGGTTCAATGACTAAAACATAAAAATTAAACCCATCAAATTATAATTTAGTATTGTCTTTGCATGTTTATCGCCATTTCCCCCTCACTTTCCTATGAAGTTCAATACATGTTTAACCATATCGGTCACTTTGGCACATGTATAGAAATGTCTCCCAAATAATGAAGTGTGGAGGGTATAAACCATGAAATGTAAAAGACAAATGTATACGCAAAATTTATTCTTGTATCCACAAAAATTTAGCTATATATATGTTAAATTACGAAGGTGTATATTTAGTTCAGTTTCTAAGTTAGCTTTTTTCCTTTTTTTTTGTTTTAATACCAAATAAATGATATTACAAATATTTTCAATTTCACACAGAATCTTATATTACTCTAAAACCCTGCCACGCCTTGGCCTAAGAAAAGGATTTGATTCTACGAAAAAGGAATCTCCTGTCTCTATGAAACCAAACGGTTGTGAATACTTCCACTTTTAACATTTCTATCCAGTTCTGGATTTTTTTGGTTTTCCTTCGCTACTTGTTAGGGTTCGACTAATCCGAATTCTTGTTGGAAAGACCAATTTCAAAGCCGGTAAAGTGCTTCATATCAAAAGTATTTTTATTTTCAGGATTCGAACCCGTCATTTCTTGTTAAAAATGAAGGATAATATCCACATAACCTTTGGTGATCTGTCCTGTTCTGTCTGCTACTTTATTTAATCCAACACAAAATTTGTATTATATAGTTTCGCATATACAAAGTATGCGCCATGACGTGATTTTCCGATTTTCCTTAAACTTGATCCTTAAATCAAGCTCTGAACAGGTAAGATGGAATTGATGTGGTGACTTAGTATTTTATATTAGTCCAACCTTGCCACGCGGTGGCCAAGGAAAACATTTGATTTCTACGAAAAAAGCATCTCCTGTCTGTATGAGACCAGCAGTAGTGAATATACGACTCATGGACCACTTCATTTGAGCACTTTCATTAACTTAGGATATTGCTGCTCTTTCACTTATTAAATTTTTGGTCTGATCTCTTTGCTTCATCTTATATTTGTTTTATATATTTAAAGTATTCTGCTTTTAGGCTGTGCTTATATGTAGCTGAATGATTGGCCGCTTTCCTTGTTTTGGATATTGGCAATTGTTCATATATCATTGCCTACAAATTGCCAATACCTTTACAGGGGAAAGGAGCGAATCAACAAACGAGTCCCAACACTCACTTTTTTGTGCAAACTAATTTCATACATTAAAAGAGATTGAATGAAAACGTCTATTTCATACTTCCTCCGGTCCAAAATAAGTGATTTTTTTTTTATGGTCCAAAATAAGTAATTTTTTCAGATTTCAAGAATGAATTAATTATTTTTTTTCCTACATTACCCTTGGAGTAAATAGTGTTGGAGTATGTGTTAAGAGTATTTATGTGAGATAGTAAAGGTTAATATGGTCAATTTCATTGCTAATTAATATTAAAAAGTGAATTTCTTAAACTGTGTGAAAATATCCAAAAAATCACTTATTTTGGACCGGAGGGAGTACCTTTTCCATCTTAAGACTCAAGTATATTCATTTTTAGTTGTGAAAAGTTTCCTTACGAAATAAGTAAGTACTAAAAGTGCAAGTTGCTCTAAATACTATGCGAGTTTTTGGTTATAATTGAAAATCAAAATAGTAGAGAATGTCTAGAAAAATGTTGATTATATAGGTGGCGAATTAAGTAATTAACGTATTGATTTATCAAAGTTTGTCAGATAAAGAAGTGAAACAAATTGCGGTGGCTGATGTTAGCTGCCTTAGTAATTGGAATACGGAACCAATGAGCTTTCATTTTTGTGACGATCTAAGTTTAGCCAATAAAATCTCCTTTACATACTACGTTAACGACACTTGGATACCATTGCATCTTGCTCATTAGATAATAGCAGACTCAAATATTGGCACTACGATTTTATTTTTCCTAAATAAATTAGAGGAAATTAATTTTTGCGTAACTAATGACATGCTTAGAGCTTTAAAACTATGTATAAATAGATGCAGAACTCCAGCTATTCTTGCTTCATCAAAAAGCTTGTTCCTTAGAAGAGTACTTACTATACTTGTTAATTAACCATGATTGCTTTGGTCTTTCTTTTTCTCTTTCCATTTGCTTCAGTCTTAGCATCTCCTAATATTAACTGTCCAAAATGTGGCACAATGGATGTGCCATACCCTCTTAGTACTAGTGAAAATTGTGGTAACCCTAACTATAAGGTTTACTGCAACAGTTACAACTTAGAGTTCTTGTCCTCTGTGGGATTCTACTACAAAATCCTCAGTATCAATCCATCTACATCTAGACTTGTTATTAGCCCTCCTTTCATACAAAAAGACTCTTGTCAATCTTCTGATCTATCCTTAGGTGGCCTAAAGATTGACGAAAACTCTCCTTTCAACATATCTTCGCAAAACACGGTTATGCTATTTAATTGTTCTGAGAATATCCTTGAGTCCCCATTGAACTGTTCTTCAACTAGCCCTTGTAGGAAGTTTGAGGAGTCGAGTCGTGAAGGAAGGAACTGTAAGAACACATTGTGTTGCAGTTACTTGAAAGATGCATCTATGACTTCTCATAGAATTAGGGTTAGGGTTACAGGGTGCACTGCCTATACTTCTTTTGTTGATTTTAAGGCTGAAGCCTCCATTAGTGCATGGCGCTATGGCATTGAGCTACAGTGGATACCTCCTAATTAACTGAGAATGCATGGTTACGGCATGCATGACCTTTCAACATTATTCTCGATCATAACAACTTCTTGTACATCTTCGTGTGTGCATGAAAGTATAGTACTCCAATAATTTGAGAGTGATGTCACGTACGATGTAATTTCTAGTCTATGGTTGTCGACTTGTCGTGTTTTTAATTTGTGCATATTCTGTATTGTTTGAACTATATAAATCCATGTACTCATTTGCTAAGAGTTCAGCAAAGAAAAGAGACTTCTTCTCTGGTAAGTTATGTCACACCTTCTTTTTTACCTACACCTCCGTAAAAGTATAAGGGGGGAGTTTTTCCAATTTAAAATGACAATCGAAACGAGATTATTTATTTATTAAACTTAGAGTCGCCACTAGGGATAATTTGTGGTGTCCCAAGTCACCGGTTCAAATCCCGAATCGAGGAAAAGATTGACTCTGTATTACAGTCTGCGAATACAGAAATCCGGGTAAGGAATTCTGTTAACCCGGGAGAAGATGTTAGGCATTCCCTAGTTCCGTGGTTCTAGCATGGTCACTCAACTGTTAGAATTGGCCTATTATCTGATTTTAATACATGTTTTAGCATATGGTGCCATTTTAACTTTAAACCGCTTTGAATTATTTTAAGGAAGATTTAAACGTCAGCCAAAACACGTCTTTTGACCGCGCCACATGAAATGCACCCGCAGTCTGAGACATGTTATATTTGACGTTGTTAAGATTTGGATTTGGGTCACATGAAATGCACACCCGAGTTTAGGAAATTAATTATTAAAATAACGCGCCTAAGCACCTACATATTTGCAAATTTGCGAGGGCCATGGAAAATTCGCTAAATGACACGCATCGATGTCTAAGGATAAAAATATCAATTAAGCGAGGGCCGTGCATTTTAGATTTTGTTTGGCACGGCACACCTCGATTCCAATTTTGAAAAAACGGATTCAAAACTAAGCTTTTGAGGGCCATAAACTACGTCTTGTCAAATATGGCACGCCCCAAATCTATTCAACTAAATAAACTATGGATATTCATATTAAACTAGTTTGAAATTAGGTGTCACTACTACGCCACGGGAACCATACCCGTAATCGTGAGGTTCCAAGTATGCTTAAGGCGAATTACTCAATTCCAACAGCTGATTGCTTCCAACAATCGTTCACAATACAAAACGCACCCTTTAATTGATTAAAAATAAAATCAGAGAAAACAATACAATAGGATTTTAACATCCTTTGGCCAAGATTGCAATCGGAAACAAACATGTACATGAGATATTACCCCCACCAAGAACGCATACCAAGACACAGTATTGAATTCTGTTCCATCCCCACCTTTATGCAATTTAATACTTCTACTTTTGCCTAAAATGCACATTGGTTAGAAGAAAGGACACCCATAGAATGAAATGTTACTATCAAACAAGACATAATATAGTAAACCTTTTTCGATTTTCCTTACACGCATGTTTCACTTTCCTCTTGTTGACTACAAAACTTCAATTGTCATTTACTAAACCCTTACACAATAAAGATCCTATGTGCAGTACTTTTAGCTTTTGGAGATATTTTCAGTAACGAAACAAAATCAAGCCCAAGAGACATGTAAAATTCAGTTAAGTACTTTCAAACCCCATAAGCTAATATTTATCAAATTACTTTACTAAACTAAACGATTTATACATTAATCATAACCAGAATCATGGTATTAGTTACGGATGAGAATTAATTTGATTCAAAGAAGTAGAAGAATGCAAAAGCTAGATCTAGAAACAGAGATTTTAACATGAGCATAGTTTATTCCAAATCCTTATCAAGATGCAGCTTACATACCTATTAGAAGGTGAATAAAAATAAAAATCTGAAAAATGATAGATGAGAGTTCAGCAACCAATATAGCAGCAAGAATAATCCCCCTCCATGCTTCCTCAAGACCAGAATCAGTAGAAAGAGACCAGAAAATCTTTAAGAAAATCAGGAATAAACTAAGAAAAGCTTGAGATGAGTTTTTGTGCCAAATCTAATTCTGCCGTGCCTTTTTTTTCTTATTTCTTTTTCTAAACTAAGCTGTGTATTTATAATACCTTTGCTAGGGCAACAAATCAGATTTTTCAAATTCAAAACCCACCCTTCACCAATTCTGTTTTGGCACAGTTTCTACCCCAATTTTTGTACTACTTGTTCCTTCAACCCACCCCTCACTTTCCTAGAACCTTCCTAGGCAGTTATCAGATTATTCCTTGCACCCAAATGTTCTAAATACCCCTTGCAATACTGATATTTAACTCCCCAAAAATTAAACTCCCTCACCCTTAAAACAAATTGGCCCACAAGCCCAACAAATTCAACCAAAACTCAACACTCTTGGACTATGGTCTGGATAAAGAAATGTAGAAGAAAACGAGTGATTAACATGACCTCAATCAAAACAAAGGGTAAAAAAAAACACACAAACATACTGCCGAAAACAAATGACGAGAATGACCAAAACAACAAACAAAAATACAATATAACCTCTTTTTCTTTTTTTTAGTTGGCAGTGATGCCTAAGAATTACACAAAGAAAAATTAAAACCCCTTGCATGCATGACTTTGCTCAAATCTTCTTTGTTGACTCAAAAATGCACCCACGCTAGTTCTTGGCCAACCATGAAAATAATGGTACAAGTATTATCCAAAACAAGATCCTAGTGGCTAATACTTTGTGTCACCATTTCCATTTTTGCCAAAAAAAAGAAAAAAAAAGAAAAGGGGTCTTCTAGATCCGGAATTGGAGAGAAATGATTTTTTACTTGAACAAAACAAAGATGGATTAGGGGTGAGAGATTGTTGAGGATTATAGTGTAGAGATTTGAGTGGGTTTGGATGGGTTTTGAGGGGGCGCCGCCGGATAAGCTTGATGGAAGATTTGGGCGGCTAGGGTTTGGGCTATAGAAAAATAGGGAAGAGTGGGGGATGGTCTCTAGGTTTGGGGGGGG